AAAAAAAAAAAAGAATCGAACCCAGTGCCTCACACATGCTAGGCAAGCACTCTATCACTGAGCTATGACTCCAGCCCTTTTTTAAATTTTTTTCATATTTTTATTGGTGCATTATAATTGTGCATAATGATGGGATTTGTTGTTACATGTATACAACATAACAGTATGATCAGTTGTCAGCACTTTCCTTCTCCCTCCTCATATCTATTGATCTCCCTTTGATTTTCATGAGATCCCGCCACCTTTCTTTTCCTTTTTCCTTTCTAGCTTCCACATATGGTAAAAAACATATGTTGTTTGGTTTATGTTGCTTAACATAATGTTCTCAAGTTTTATCCATTTTCCAGCAAATGACATAATTTAATTTTTCTTTAAGTGTGAATAAAACTGTCGTGTATATATACTGCATTTTCTTTATCYATTTATCCATTGATGAGTACATAGTCTGGTTCCATAGTTGGACTATTGTCATTTGTGCTTTTTAAACACGGGTATGCATGTATCATTGTGGTTTGATGACTTTAATTCTTTATGATAAAAATAGAGGAGGGGTGTACCTGGGTCATATGGTGGTTCCATGCCTAGTCTTTTGGAGAACCTCCATACTGATTTCCATAGTGATTGTACTAATTTACAATCCCGACACCAGTGTAAAAGTGTTCCTATTCTCCATGTCCTATCCAGCATTTTGTTTGTATTCTTGATGACTGCCATTCTCACTTGTGTGAGATGAAATCTCAGTGTAATTTTGATTTGCATTTTCCTAATTGCTAATGATATTGAACATTGTTTCATGTATTTGTTGGCCATTTGTATTTCTTCTTTTAAATATATATAAAATATTTTATATTTATGTACATGCTAAGCAAGTGCTCTACCACTGAGCCATAATCCCGACCCCCGTTTGTATTTCTTCTTTTGAGAAGTGTCTGTTTAATTCATTTGACCATTTAGTATGGTTTTAATTAGTTAATTATGGTGTGGCATAAGAAATTAAACCCAAGGCTTCACTAGGCACATGCTCTGCCACTGAGCTGTATCCCCACCCCCAAGGTACAGTTTTATGTACTGTTACATATGTGGGCATGCTGAGGTTTTCTCAGGTAAAGAAATATTTAAAGAAAGTAATACCTTTATCACTAATCACATTTCTAAATGTGGACCTCAGAAAAACAACAGGCAAATGTAGCAGATGATGGTCTTGTTTGCATAGGAAGACACTTGCTGTCATTATATCAGAGAATGGACACTGCACCCTGCTGTGTCACAGAGATACTACTGAGCCCTCCAGAGGAGAGAATGAGAGTCACAAGTGACCATAAGATGCCTCGTTACCCATGACAGGGAAGCAGGTCCCAATAGCCTGGGGAACACAGGATATAGAGTTTTCAAGACAAGACAGATTATATTTATTTAGGACATGGAAATGCACAGCAGAAGTAAACGCATGCTGGCTGGAATGGCAGTTCCAAATTAGGTTATTGGTTTACTGAGGAGCAGTGACTATTTGATTTCATTTGTCATGTTTTGTTCTCAGAGCCAGGTTGTGGGTGCACTGTGTTTGCTGTATTATTTGTTTTTCCTTTTTCTAGTTGTATTTCATAATTTAAAACAAAGGCAGTCAGGCATGGTGCTGCATGCCTATACTGCCAGCTACTGAAGTAGGACAGGGCAGAAGGATTGCTTAAGGCTGAGTGTTTGGGGCCAGCCTGGCAACATGGTGAGACTCTGTCTCAAAAAAAAGGGACTGGGGGGGCTGGGATTGTGGCTCAGCGGTAGAGCACTTGCCTGGAACATGCGAGACCCTGGGTTCGATCCTCAGCACCACATTAAAAAAAAATAAAAATAAACAAGTGAAATAAAAAAGGACAGGGGATGTAGCTCAGTTGGTAGAGTGTTTGCCTCCATGCACAAGGCCCTGAGTTCAATCCTCAGCAGGAAAAAAAAAAAAAAAAAAAACAGGCTGGGCCTGGTGATGTGTGCCTGTAATCCTAGCAGCTTGGGAGGCTGAGGCAGGAAGATTGCGATTTCAAAGCCAGCCTTAGCAAAAGCAAGGCACAAAGCAATTCAATGAGACCCTGTCTCTAAATAAAATAGAGAACAGGACTAAGGATGTGGCTCAGTGATCAAGTGCCCCTGAGTTCAATCCCCGGTACTCCCGCAAAAAAACAACAATAAAAGCACACTAGCATATGCAAAGACCTAGGTTTAATCTTCAGCACCACAGAAAAGAAAAACAAGTAAAAATAATGTAAAGGGTAAATCTTTTAGACTATGAAATCAAAGATGAAGGCAGAAAGCTGGAAGCCAGTGTGTAAAAAAAAAAAAAGTTTGGTATAGAATTCAGCTTGTATTCCTATCTAATAATAGAGGGAAAGAAGAGAATAAGGAATCATTGCCAGGTGTGGTGGCACATACCTGATATCCCAGGCATATACCTGGGAGGCAAAGGTGGGAGGATCATGAGTTTGAGGCCAGCCCAGCAACTTAGGGAAACCTATCTCAGAATAAAAAATAAAAAGGGCTGGGATGTAGTCAGTTTTAGAGCGACCTGGTGTTCAATGCCCAGTGCTGCAAGCTAAAAAAAAAAAAAAAAAAAAAAAGACACTATTGATGGCAGAGAATGTCTTTGAGATGCGAGATAGTATTTATAAAATGGAATCAACTCTAGTGCTGCCAGTCTGTCTCGGAGGCAGCATTTATCAAGTTATTTTCACCTTTGCAGATGTATTAGTCTGTATTTCTCCATACCATTTTAAAAAATGTTCAAAAAGCAACCTCATGGGCTGGGGTTGTGTCTCAGTAGTAGAGCACTTGTCTAGCATGTATGAGGCCCTGGGTTCAAACCTCAGCATCACATTAAATAAATAAACTAATAAATGGATAAAATGAAGTTTAAAAAAAGCCAACCTCATGTTCTTATTTCCCTTCACAATGAAACAATGGACTAAAGAAGTTCAGATGTTCCCCCACCATGTGTGATTGTGGAGGTTGGGGTCTGCAGCATTGTTGAGTGCAGGTCTTTCTCTTGATATTGTGCTGTAAGTGCAGGGTCTGTGAGACATGTGCTGATGTCTAACCTCGGGCAGGATTTCTTCAGTGGTCACCTCATCTTGTGTTTGGCCTTAGGTGCAGAAGAGCCCTGTGTTCCGGAGGGACGGCGCAGACATCCACTCCGACCTCTTTATTTCTATAGCTCAAGCTATTCTTGGTGGGACTGCCAGAGCCCAGGGCCTATATGAGACAATCAATGTGACGGTAAGATGATACAGAGATGTCTTTGCCATCTGGTATTTTTTTGCTCTTTATTCTAAATTGGGAAATGGTTGATATGCATCCTGATACCTGTGATCCTCAGGCATATTGTGGATTCTGGTTTGGAGATGGGCACTAGGAGCTTTGGGCTGTTCCTTGAGTGAGAGTCACAGGCCAGGCAGTGACTGGAAAACTCTGGAGAGCATGTCCTGGCTGGCTTCCCCTTCTCTGTTGTTCAGTGGGTCTCAGGAACTGAGTGCACCTATGATGCAGAAGTGTATCATTGTGGGCTGGGRTTGAGGCTCAGTAGTAGAGTGCTTGCCTAGCATGTGGCATAAGGCACTGGGTTTGATTCTCAGCACCATTGACAAAAAAGGTCCATTGACAAAAAAATATTGAAAAAGAAGTGTATCATTGCAGTAGGTGCTCTTTGCTGTTTCCTTCAATGTCTGGCAACAAGAGCAAATGCCTCTGGGGCTACATTTCTTCTCCTTGGCCACTTCTGATTTCAGTCACACATACAATGATAGCTTCCTATGCTCACCCACACCCCTTACCCCTTCCTCCAGGTCCCACTATTGTCTTTATTTACCTAGGACCTTCTTTAATCTCTGGGTGTGGGGGACTTTGGAGTGACTTGCCCATGGAGATAGTGTCCATTGGCATCCAGCTCATAGAGGGCCAGGGAAGTATAAACCCAGCCTTGCATCCTGTGTTGGCTTTTTCTCTTCCCAGGTCTCACACTCACTCTTGCTTACCACCCAGAACTGCCCCCAAGTCCTGGTTGTAGGCTGTGCCTCATGGACCCAGTTCAGTCAGTTTCCAGGTGATCACTGGCTTGCTCCAGTAACCCAAGTGCAAGGAGTCCTTTCMAGATGGCCTTTGTGTAGTGAAAAGGTTTACTTTTGTGCAGCAGGAACCAGGGACCACCACCACTTTCTTTTCTCTGTAGATTCCCCCTGGGATTCAGACAGACCAGAAGATTCGCATGACTGGGAAAGGAATCCCCCGGATTAATAGCTATGGCTATGGTGACCACTACATTCATGTCAAGATCCGAGTTCCAAAGTAAGCACCCTAAATAGACCATAGTCACCTACCAGCCCCACAAACGCTTGTCCATCACTCATCTACCAAGCAGGTGCCTGCTGAGCCTTTCACCTGCCAGGTCCTGCCCCAGCAGCTCAGATGGCCCATATGCTTTTGGCTTATTGGTCATGTCTCCATGAAGTCAGATGTGTCTAACCCGCTTTCCCCATCTGCAAATTGGATGTAATGAGTCCACCTTGTCGAATGACACATAAGAGATGCTTAGCACTTGCTGTATTGCTGTGGGCACCCAGGGCAGGGTATGCCCATCTGCTCTTCTGGCCCTCATTCTTTTTTCTGAGATGAATTAGATAATTTCTTACCTGTTTCATACACACACTTATAAGCCCTTCTTTGCCCCTAGCAAATTGTGTCTGTCATAGCTGCAGTGACAGTTATTTATAAAGAACTTAGGGTATTTTAGGAGCTCTTCTTTGTAAGAGCTTTGAGCTTCATAGGAGCCAGGATCTCATCACTAGCTCAGGTGTCCAGTTTGAGTCTGGGTCCCACGTTTCTTACATGCTGTGAGGGAATGTGGCTGCATGTGTGTCCTAAGAGATGTTTACTGTGCTTGGTCCACAGGAGGCTGACGAGCCGGCAGCAGAGCCTCATCTTGAGCTATGCTGAGGACGAGACAGATGTGGAGGGGACAGTAAATGGTGTCACCCACACAAGCACTGGTAAGGGGTCTGGAGGTGCAGACATGAAGGGGCCTCTGAATCCCTTAGAGGTTGGATAGGCAGCATGTTTGGGTTTCCACTTGGGTCTTCATGAAGCCCCTAAAAAGCTCTGTTGAAAAAGGGGAGTTGTGGGTAGAAATAGCTGGAGCGGACTTGTGGCCTCTTCCTTTCTCTGTGTTTGTGTGCTGAGGACAGCACTGGAGTGTTTCCTGTCCCAGGCAGCTCTGTGTGTCTCAGAGCTGGTATTCTGAGTTCTAGGATTGGTTCTGCCACTTGCCTTGTGACCTTGGGCACATCCTCCCATGAAAGTTTTTCACAACAGTGTTAAGGAACAGATGAGCCAGGCAAGGTGGTGCACACCACCTATCATTCCAGCCATTATGGAAGCTAAGGCATGAGGATCAAAAGTTCCAGGTCAGCCTGGGCAACTAAGACCCTGCCTCAAAATAAAAAATAAAAATGAAAAGGGCTGGAGATGTAGTTCAGTGGTAAAGTACTCTTGGGTTAAAGCATCAGTAAAATTTTTAAAAATTTTTTAAAGGGGATGGGATGCAACTTAGTGATAAAGTGCCCCTGGGTTCAAACCCTAGCACGCAAAAAGTAAAATAAAGGGGCTGGGGATGTGGCTCAAGCGGTAGCGCTCCCTGGCATGCGTGCGGCCTGGGTTCGATCCTCAGCACCACATACAAACAAAGATGTTGTATCTGCCGAAAACTAAAATGTAAATAAATATTAAAAAAAAAAAAAGATTACAGATCAGGGCTGAGAATATAGCTTAGTCAGAAGAGTGCTTATAAAAAAAAAAAAAAAAGTAAAATAAAAAGACAAATAGAACAGATTTGTGCTTTTCTGGGCTAGAATACTTCACCGGGATTCCAGAATGTCTTGTAAACAACAGTAACCACAGGGCAGGAAAAACTGAAGTTGGAGTTCAGTCTTTCTTTTAGAGCAGGGTAACTTTGAATTCATTTGGCAGGGAATAAATATGTCACACTGAATGCAGAGATCCTGCCATTGGCAGTTTTGTTGAATGTTGGTGGTTTAAGAGAGCATATTTGATACTAGACTATTTCAAAGAAAAAAAGTTCAGATTTTTTATAGAAATGAGATTAGAAATCAGTACAAACAGGAATGTTTCAAATTAGTGTCACAAATTATCTCAGTCCAACTTAATTCAAGTAAACTGAAACTTCTTTGCAGATTTGGTTTATTTAATCTTTTGCGTATGTGGCTGTATGTATGAGTAATGTAACCATGTCATTATATTGTTTAAATATAGTTCATTATACAAAGTATTAAAAAAGAGAGAGAGCATATTTGCCAGTCAGAACTTCAACAATGGCACCCACAKCTGCTGTCCCTCTTCTTATGGGGGTTGGGGACCTTGATTGATTGGGACTCAGGTCAGGTCAGGATAGGCTGTGCCCACAAGGTCGGTGGCTCAGACTATGCATGTTTCTTCCTCATTGCATCAGTTTTTGTCTGGATCCTGGATGGAATTCCCAGAACTCAAATGGTCTTAGAGCAGATGTTCAGAGCTAGGAGCAGATTTACCAGTGAAGTGGAGGGTTGGGCTAGGCAAGTACTAAGCTAAGTCCCCAGCCTTTTTTTTTTTTCCCCCTCTTTTTTAAGACAGGGTTTCACTAAATTGCTTCAGCCACTGAGTAGCAGGTATTATAAGCATGTACCACTGTGCCTGGCTTTTATATTTCCTGAACTAATAAAAAAGTGGGACTGGTTATTCTACAAAACTCTGGTATGCACCTCTGGCTTCTTCCTTAAACCTACATGTTCCTGTAGTTGTGTGGTATGTGACATTTGTTCTGTACCCAGTTGTCCTCCTCTCCTGCCAACAAGAGGCCTCACGGTTGGCTAGGTATGGCCTTGGTGGTATTGGTGTTTTAACATGTTACAATGTTGGGTATTAAGCTAGGAGCAATGACACATYCTTGTAATCCCAGCTACTCAGGAAGGTGAAGTAAAAGAATTGCAAGTTCAAGACCAGCCTCAGCAGCTTAGTAAAACCCTGTCTCAAAATAAAAAAACAAGGGCTGGGGATGTAGCTCAGTCCTGGATTCAATCCCCAGGACTAAAAAGAAAGGAAAAAAATTATTGGGAATTTAGTGGCTCCCACTTGTTTTAAATCTCCCCTGATAGCTTGAGAGTTGATTATGTAGTTTGTTTGYGAGTGTCCTTGGAAACTTCGTTACTTTTGTGGTTCCTAGCCCCTCATTCTACCAGGATTTATTTGGAGCCTCCTGTGTGACAGATGTCAGCTCTTCTTTTTGAGATTCTTTTTTTTTTTTTTTTTTCCAGTTGTAGATGGACACAATACCTTTATTTATTTATTTTTTTGTGGTGCTAAGAATCAAACCCAATGTCTAACCGTGCAAGGCAAGCGCTCTACCACTGAGCTACAACCCCAGCCCTCGAGATTCTTATGACATTAATTTTGCTGAGTTTTGTTTAACCTCTGAAAAGTTGCTTATAAAGTGAAATGGGTATACCAAATTATATTTATTTCTACTCACTTCTTTTTTTAGGGGAGAGTACCGGGGATTGAAATTGGAGCACTTGCCCAATGAACTACAACCATAGCCCTATTTTGTATTTTATTTAGAGACAAGGTCTCACTGAGTTGCTTAGCACCTTGCTTTTGCTGAGGCTGGCTTTGAATTCATGATCCTTCTGTCTCAGCCTCCTGAGCTGCTGGGATGACAGACTCTTTCTATTCACTTCTATTGTCATTTTCAGAGATGCATTCCAATGGGACTTTGGCTCCCAGCCATAATTTTGCAAAAGGCATTTAAGAATTTAGAATTGGGGCTGGGGTTGTAGCTCAGTGATAGAGCACTTGACTTGCATGTGTGAGGCTGGATTCAATTCTTAGCACTGCATATAAATAAAAAAAGTCCACTGACAACTAAAAATAATTTTTGGGCCTTTTTTTAGGTTTTATTTTATTTGTTTTTTATACATGACAGTAGAATGTGTTTCGATTCATTGTACACAGATGGAGCAAAACTTTTTATTTCTCTGGTTGTACATGATGTAGAGTCATACCATTTTCTGCAATCGTACATATGCCAGGGTAATGATGTCCATCTCATTCCACCATCTTTCCTACCCCCATGCCCTCTCCCCTCCCCATACTCCCCTTTGCCCTATCCAAAGTTTCTCCATTCTTCCCATGTCCCCCACCCCGCATTATGGATCAGCATCAGCTCATCAGAGAAAACATTTGGCCTTTGGTTTTTTGGGATTGACTTACTTCACTTATTAGCATGATATTCTCCAACTCCATCCATTTACCTGCAAATGCCAATTTTATTCTCTTTAATGCTGAGTAATATTCCATTGTGTATATATATTACAGTTTCTTTATCCTTCATCTATTGAAAGGCATCTAGGTTGGTTCCACAGTTTTGCTACTGTGAATCAAGCTGCTGTAAACATTGTTGTGGCAGCATCACTGTAGATTGCTGATTTTAAATCCTTTGGATATAGACTGAGGAGTGGGATAACTGGGTCAAATGGTGGTTCCATTCCAAGTTTTCCAAGAAATCTCCGTACTGCTTTCCAGACAGAATAGTTGTACCAATTTGCAATCCCACCAACAATGTATGAATGTACCTTTTCTCCCACATCTTCGCCAACATTTATTGTTGTTTGTATTCTTTTTTTTTTTTT